GTATCCCCAACAGCCCCGAACCCCCCTGGAACCCTCTCGCATTTTCCTGAAAGCTGCCCCGAACCACCCTTATCGCCTATCTATCTGGGCCTATCAACCCCATTCAGCTGTTGGGAAAAATATGAAACTCTACTTTACAGGCCCCGTCTCATGGCTTGGCTGGTTCAACGTACGGATCCCTTCGCAAACCTCAGTGGCAAGTCGTCTGTTTCTAGAAAGGCATTCGAGCTTGGGCATCTCCAATTTGCTCGCTTCCTCCTTGCTAAGTGGGAAAATCACCATATAGCTAACCCTATACCCCTAGTTGAACATCAAAATAGCTGGTACATGGGTGTTCATGCGCCCCAAAATGGAGGCATAGGTTATGACCCATGGCCATGTTGCTCATTTGCTCACCTCAACCCAACCAGTTGGCTCAACAATCCCCGACACCGTGCCTGTTCCTCCTCTTCGGCATCTTCGCCGTGGTGGCTACCGGGCATCCCTGGGCGCAGAATCAATCCGATCCATACTCTTGCTACATCGGAGATTCCCTCAAAAACTGTCAAGGAAAATGTGTGTGTTGGAGGTACGGATGCTTACCAATGTTTACATTTATTAGGCAGTATGTAATAAGGGGTGTACCAGTGGTGGATACAACCTGAAAACCATAAGGGTTTTTCCATATAGTATATGTATATATATATATATACACCTTTATTTCCCAAAAAGTTAAAGTCTAAAGATCCAACCCAATAGCAGTTAAGATGTGGTGTATGTATATATATATATATAAACCTCCATACCTCCAAAACCAAGACCCCGAAAGTCACTTTTAGACTCTGTCGAGCCATCCACAGACCTCTCACCCGGCTCTCCCGCGTTTCGGGTTCCCCAGGCCTCGGAAGCGCTCCGAGCGGCGCGGAAAGGAGTTCTTTTCAGCTGGTGTCTGGTGGCTGGGGAGTCTGGAAGCTTCCAAATCCAGTTGCCAGCTGCATATGCTTGGCTGAAGTTGAGACATTCTGACCCTCTCAACTCGATCTAAAATAGATTGGCCTTGAAGCTGCGAAACTTGGCTCACAGCCGAGTTTTTGGGAGTTGGGTGGAAATGCCTCGGTTGTCTGCGCCTTGCGAAAAGAGGCTGCATTCTGAGCGAGGCAGGCTCTGGCAAGTGATTTGCGAATGGCCATGGCAGCCTGACGCATTCCGAAACGCCAGCGCTCTCACTGGAAATAGACGTACTGCCGGCATAGGAGATCACTTTTCCAGGAATGCCCCTGCCAAAGCCAAATACGTATTCCTTCTGTGGCACGACCCTAGCAACATACTGCAGACCACCAAGGCGCATCCAAGTAAGCAGCTTGATCTGTCACAATCATGACAAATGCTAGCCTTGAACATGAACCGACCTGTGCTCAACACCTCACTTCCAAAGTGGATTGGCCAAACCCAAAAACCAGTTGTTTGCCACTAGGGTCCAAACACTAAAAGTGAGTCCAGAAGTTGACAGTGAGAGAAAATGTTCTATATATATATATATATTAAAAAAGAAAAAAAAAAAAACGTGCTGGAGCATCAACCGCCTACCATATTCATACTCCAAAACATGTCATCCGCCTTGCGCCTCCTTGCCCGATCACACACACACACAGCCAAAATTCGGCGAAACACGGCGAAGTCTGCAAAAGGAAGCCAAACACGAGAAACTCCCAAAACCGGCTTCCCTTCACACTAATACACCACCCGTGCCCACGCCACCACATTCATCGCATGGGATGGAGTCATAGTATTCCAAACCCCTTCTCCCCCTTTCGTCCGAAGACCCCTTCTGCCTTAGAAAGGACCTTAAGAAGTTTGGGTCCACGCTCCCCCAATGGTTGGACATAGACATCCCCACCATGTTTGACGTGAGAGTTCAAGACTAGGCTAGTCGACTCATATCCCTTTTGCCTCGAAACCGGGGCTGGGGGGACGGCTCAATTACACATATGATCAAATAATAAAGATACACCATGTTGGAAAGATGGTATACTTAAAAAAATAATAAAAAGGTGCAATGTCAAATTATACAGCTCCGAGCCGGGGGGAAATCCCCACCATGCTTGACGTGAGAGTCCGAGATGAGTTCAGACTCATGCCCGTTTTGCCCCGGTTTCCGGGGCCGGGGGGACGCTCCGAGCCGGGGGACCGGGGGGACCGGGGGAGGGCACGCAGGTAGTCTCAGGATCTCCTCCAGCAGCTGCTGCAGCCGACGCTTGCAGCTGCTCAAAAGCTCCTCACTCGTCACTCCCAGGTTCTGGGCCCGAGTCTTACCTAAAAGCCTAAAGAAGGATAGCAGGGATCCGGATGCATGAAAAACACCTGAACATTGCAACTTGTAAATGGTGGTTTCCCTTTATTCTGGTGTTGAAAAAGCAACATGTTTCAAATGGTTGCAAAATGTATCTTTTAAGGAGCCCTGGATAGGGGTCCGTCTTTTTTCAGTGGGTACCCGTTGCTTCCCTTTGAACAAAAAATAACAATTGAGAGGGATACTTCAAACTTTGTTCATGTGTAGGGTGTGTTTTTGGATGCACCGGTATAGCCATACAAAAAGGATTGGTTCAAAGGGAAACCACTAAAAAGCCGACCATTCTGAGGGGTCACCCATACCTACCAGGATATGGGTTCATCATCTCTTGGTGGGTACCTGTTTTTGGGGTGGATTTAAAGGGAACAACACTGGAGAACCACCATTTTGGCGCTAACAAACGAAAGAAAAGAAGAAAAAGGATCCAAGAACCAGCGCCCCAATGGCTGGCAAATGGCCCCCAAAACCGCCATTAGGTCACTCAACTGGCTAGCCTCCCCAACATGGGAAGCCAAAGCCAAAACCTCCCGCCCACTTCCATTGAAAGTGTGCAACAAACCAAAGCAAAGGACAAGACACGGGACCATGAGTCACAAGCAAAGGTCATTCTGGGTGGGACAGCTCCCCCAAAAGGTGTTTAAAACTTGGCCGGACATGGGCAAAAGAGCTGGGGACATCCGCAGTCTGTTGTATCACACAGTCTTGTTTTCTCTTCCGGTCGCTCTTGGAGTCGCCTGCTTTCTCATGAAAACCTCGCAGTTGGATCGTGGAAGGGTCACAAGCCTCAGGCCGTAAACTAAGTGCAGGCGCATCATCCATTTAAGACAACGGGATGGTGTGCAAGTGCAAACAAGTCAGTCACTGGGCTCGGCCAAGCATCGACCCGCAAGAACTTGGCTTGTCGCTTGAAAGGGAAAACGAAGAAAGACCAAGGCGCAAAGTTAGCAAGGTCAGCGAAGTACGTCCGATATTGGAAGGTGAGCAAAGTAAGGTGGGGGCAAGAAAAAGGTCGAGCCATGAACCAATCTCCCCTCTCCTCCCCACGTACTTGATTGCAAATACTGCTCCTAGACACATGCTTGGTGCTTTTGGAAAGCACCCATATTCCTGGACCGAAGAGCACGCGGATCAACCAGTTTTCGGGGTCTTGCTTGTAGCACTCCAGATCAATGGAGCCAAAGGACCTACACCATGGGCTTTCGCTCAGTTTCCCCCCCCGAATCGGTGGAAACGCTCGAAACCTATGAACAAGCATCCCTGCTTTGCGGGTGCGTGGAGCCATCTCTCCTCGACACTCTGCTGCTTCTCCTCGAGCTGGAACGCCTCTTCGCAAGGCGTGGCCTTTTTTCTTCGCCATGCGAGTGGGACTTGCTGACATGCGCGACTTGCAACCCGAAAGGACATGGGACCATTAGAGAGTCCTAGCCTGGATAAATGTTTGCTTGCATCCTGCTTGCTCAGGATATGTTTCTGAACCTATTTGATTGCCCTGCTTGACATGTGGCTGTGGCTCAATAAAAGGAAACCCAAAATGGCCCCTAGCTAAATGGAAACAGAGACCAAAACGTGCGCAACCCTAGCTGTTAAATTTTGAGCCACACCCATGTGGGAAACACCAGAATTATCTTTTTGTTGGGAAATCCCAATTTAGAGACTTTATGTGGCCCTCACGGACCATAGACTACTGGACATTTTGACCGACACGGTATGACGCGGTCTACGTCGATGGCTGTGAGGGTATTCCCCTATGATCAACTCAGCCCGATTCGATTCAGGTTGGCCTGGGGACATGCTCGGGTGCGGCCTACATGAAAGTTGGCTTTCTGAATCTCGGTGAGTTCCCTTTTGGATGGTCATAGGCTTTGCAACTTTCGGAAAGCGACCAGACTATGGGTCGGAACCTATCTCAACACACATCAGCATATAGCCATTGAAGAAAATATGGCGAGGATATTTCATCAGCATGTAGCCATTGAAGAAAATATGGCGAGGATATTTTGTTGAAGAGTGTTTTGCTCCGCCTTGCGTTTGTTGACCCGCCTAGGTTTCTGTCAAAATAGGCACACCCCGCAAACGGTCGGTTTCCTTTTGGATTCCCTTCAAAACCATACCAAAAAGGGTACCATCAAAAAACAAAAAGACATACACCCCCTCAGATCCCCTGCTAGAAGTGAATTACCACTAAGCCCACCAAAAAACAGCTAAAAAGTTAACTGGGCTGCCCTCAGATCCCCGCTAAAAGCTTAACTTTTAGTGGGTTAAATGGAAACTGCCACTAAGCACCAAAACAGCTGAAAGGCTAAGGACCCGGATGGCTGGGAGCCAACCTTTCAAGGCAAGGACAACACCCCCCCGTCGGAAGGAATGCCTTCAGCTGCTTCAGCCGATCTGCTGCATCCACCAAAGCACCTCGCCCAGACCTGCCAACGGCTCAAAGGCTGCTGTGTCCGCAGCAAACAAACAACACACAACATATTACATACAAAGGGTTAATTTATGTCATTAATTACAAAAGGGTTGATGCATGGAATGAAATACAAAGGGGTTGACTTATGTCACTAAATACAAAACGGGTTGATTTATGGCATTCAATACAAAGGGGTTGATTCCTGGCATGCTTTACAAAGGGGTTGAGTTATGGCATCAATTGCAAAGGGGTTGATTTATGATGGCAATACATACAAAAGGGTTGCTTTATGGCAATAAACACAAAGGGGTTGATGTATGTCATTAAATACAAAGGGGTTGAGTTGTGTCATTAAATGCAAAACCGGCTAATTTATGGCATTCAATACAAAGGGGTTGATTCCTGGCATGCTTTACAAAGGGGTTGAGTTATGGCATCAATTGCAAAGGGGTTGATTTATGATGGCAATACATACAAAAGGGTTGCTTTATGGCAATAAACACAAAGGGGTTGATGTATGTCATTAAATATAAAAAGGGTTGAGTTGTGTCATTAAATACAAACGAAAACGGGTTGATTTATGGCAATAAACACAAAGGGGTTCGTTTATGGCATTGAATACAAAGGGGTTGTCTTGTGTCATTAAATACAAAACCGGCTAATTTATGGCATCAATTACAAAGGGGTTGATTTATGGCAATAAATACAAAAGGGTTGCTTTATGGCAATAAAAACAAAGGGGTTGATGTATGTCATTAAATACAAAGGGGCTGACTTATGTCACTAAATACAACACGGGTTGATTTATGGCAATAAACACAAAGGGGTTCGTTTATGGCGTTGAATACAAAGGGGTTGACGTGTGTCATTAAATACAAAACCGGCTAATTTATGGCATTCAATACAAAGGGGTTGATTCCTGGCATGTTTTACAAAGGGGCTGATTTATGGCGTCAATTACAAAGGGGTTGATTTATGGCAATAAATACAAAAGGGTTGCTTTATGGCAATAAACACAAAGGGGTTGATGTATGTCATTCAATACAAAGGGGTTGAGTTATGTCATTAAATACAAAAGGGTTGATTTATGGACCCAAATACAAAGGGGTTGATTTCTGGCATGTTTTACAAAGGGGTTGATTTATGGTATGCTGAGGTTGGTTTATGGCATGTACCTGTGTCTGGTCTTGTTTGTGCATACATGTGTCCAAAGTGCGCGTGGTCTGTGAGTGAACTGAGGATGTTGCGCAAACTGTTCGCAGGTGTCCCCAAGCAGGGGACCGTCATGCAAATCGCTCGACAACCACCCACATCGGTAATGAGTTCATTGGTTGTTCGTCTTTTTGAAGCTTGGGCCCCCCTGAAATTCTGGTTTGCTTGTTGGTTTCCATTGAAACCAACCCCAGAAAATAAAAGACACCCCCATTTGAGAGAATGCGCACTTCGATCGATCAGATGTGCGCTATCGCGACGCGGGTTTGTGAGCTGGCAGCAAACCGTGTCCTGTTCTGCACCTTCTCGATATGAAATTATACCTACAGCACAGTCAGTGTACCACGACAAAACCAAGCGAGCGCGTTCCCGCTTCAGGAAGGCTGTTGGTAAAGGGTTACAGCTATCTGCCTGACCACAACCCTCATCAAAACCAGGTAGAACCACCTACTCCACACAGCCAATGAGGGTTTTGGGCACTGCTCTGCTTAGGCTCACCTTGAAACCCCGCACACTTGCTACCATATTTTCGTGCGGTGCAGAAGCAACAAAGTCAAGTGCGAGATGACATTAAGCACCTGGAGTCTCCATGACCCTTAAACATGGGGTCATTGCCCAAAAATAAAGGGGTCATGACCCCAATTACTTTTATGGGACACTCAACAAAACGTGTGGCAAGTCTTGGAAATGTGTTTCCCCCCCCCCCCCCCACCCTCCACCTCTTCGAAGGCCCGCCCCCCACCCCCCCGTTAGCTGCTAGCGCACGCAATGGACTCTTTTTGCTACGTGCCGTCCATGGCTGCGGCCATCTGCGAAGAAGCTGCTTTCTCTTTGTCCTTGGCAGGAACCCTCGCAGTCCCAAGATTCGAAACCCCCGTTTTTCAGCTCAGCCGATACCGCACTAGCTTGTGCTACCAAGTGCAAAGGGTGTTCAAACAGTACCCTCCACTCCAATCATGGAAGCTGACAGCAGTTTTGATTCGAAGACTAGTTTTTTGGGGAAGCCCAGAGCGTCCACTTCCCGGGTTCTGGAAAAAAGAGGACCATCTATTCCAAAACCAGTCTCCGCCCAGCTCATTTCACCAAGCCAGGGGTCTGCCTGCTCTTCCGCCTGTAGTCGTGCTTTGGACTCCAGCATCAGCCGCATACCATACAACCCCCGCTGCTCGCAGATGTCGATGGCCTCGAGCCCAAAGTTGCAAGCTTCAACGCCGATCAGTTGTCCTGCTTGAGGGCTCCCCGGGTTCTTGCGGCTGTAAAGAGAACAAGGGAAATCCAAAGGGCCCCACCAGTTTGGGGTTTTCCCTGAAAACAAACACATACCCAAATAGGAATCGGAGCCCCAAACAAGATTGACTTCCTTTGAAGGCTTCACTTTAACACCAATGAGATTCAGGGACCCAGAGAGCGACCCACATACATCTATCCGTGCCACCACGTTTGCCCTATGCTCTTGGTTCCGTTCTGGGCAACTGGCATGGCATGATGTTTTGCGTCCAAAAACTGCTGTCAAGCGGCATCCTCTTTCCCGGCATTCTTCAGCAGTACGTCCAAGAAGGGATCATTCTGCAGCCATCGGGCAAACTCCAGGGTCTGCGCGCAAGGTGTCGGGTTGCAAAACGCACGCAGATTGAAAAAAAAACCTCAGCATATTTCAGACTTCGGTGCTTCGGCAGGACGCAACACGCAAGTCGATATGGCTGTGGCTTTCCCTTTAGTTTCCCTTGAAACCATCCCCTCAAAACAAAGACTCACCCACATTGGAAACCTCGCGCGTCATGGATCTGTTGTCTCTCTGGTACACCATGGGGTCATCCCAACACGGCAAATGAAGGGCGACACCAGCTTACTGATGTCTACCACCCGAATTGCGAGCCAAATGAAAATGCAAAGTCTGGCGATCGCATATTGAATGGTAATCAGGCACTTAGAACTGAACAGCGATCCAAGATTGATACTGGGCTGGATTGTGGTATGACCTTAGCCCCTCACACCTGTTGGAAACAATTTTACTGATGGATTTTCCACTAAAGCTACACCAGGTTACCAGGTAAGATATGTTGCTCGTTCGGGGGGAAGAGCAACCAGGCATCTAAAATATTCAGTGGCCATACACTTCAGCTGGGGAGTTCTCTCGCGTCTTTTTGCTCATGCAGTAGCTGCTATAGGAGTATGTTGCATCTCACAGTGTGAAAGATAAGGGCAAACACTCTTGTCATGATTGCATCCGTCGCAGGGCAAGGCAAATTGAAACCCACGCTTTGGCATATTCCCAGTTCGCTCTGGTGAACTGCTGTCACATTGAGACGCCTGGAGACAAGCTCATGCTTTGTTTGTTCCACACCTGTGTCTTGCTTGCCCATACGCTAGTTTGCCAGTTGATTGCAGGGTCTCCTTTTCTCAGAGAGCGTATGTGAAGCCCCGAAGTCTTGCGGTCATGGCCCCTATGGATCTACAGATGTGCCAAGGCGGCGTTTCAGCCGAGGCAGATTCCAATAGCAGAGCCACAGTCGTTATTCATCGCGTTCCCAGTCATGAGATTCCAATGTCAGCCCCTGACAGTATAGCTTTCAACATAATAACGATAACATGTTTTTTCACTTCTTGTTTTCAAGAAACACTTCCAACGAGAGCTACGGAAGCAATAAGAAGCAGATCTTCAGCAAGCAGATCTTGAAAACAAAATGCTCAGGGCTTCAGCAACCGTCTTTGTTTTGGGCCAATCGGAACGAACCTCCAAGATACACGGCGAGTTCAAAAAAGACGTGTCCTCAAGCGCCTGGTCGTTGCGCAGCGCCATCATCAAAACGGAATCGCCAGCGTCGTTCTGCGCGTTGACACCTTTCTTCCGTCTCAAGCTTGCGGTGAGCGATGAACCCTAAACTCGCTATGAATGCATCGGATTGCAAGACTAGCCCTGGCCGCCCAAGAGGAAGTCCACAGAGCGTGCAACAGGCTCGACTATTCTTCTGGCGCCCACTCCCACAGCTCCGCTCAGCATTCGCCAGTTCAACCGGTGTTTCCTGAGGTAGGGGGCACTCCAGGAACCGATTGGCACTTTGAGTTGGTGCAAGGGAGGCAGGGAAGGAGAAATGGAATGGCCAGAATAAAAACCATGCAACTGGCGGTTTCCTGGAGTCTCCAAAACCCTTTAAAAATCAGGTCATGACCCTTTATTTTGGGTACTGACCCCATCTTTAAAGGGTCATGGAGGCTCCAGGTTGTTTCCTTTGAGGGAATCCCCTTCCGGTTCATTCCCACATCCCTAGTGACACCAGCAAGTTGACCCTTCTCAGTAGCTGTTCCTGTCGAAAACCACAAGACGTGACCCAAGTTCCCAGGCCGAGAAGTGCTACAGCTGTTGGGTGTGTACTGGGAAATGGAGAAGGCAGATTACTAGTTGGGGGGTGTCTTGTGTTTGAGGTACCCCTGTCTTGAAAGGGGAAAACCAAGAGGAACACACCCGTCTTCTTTTTTTTTTGGGGGGGGTGTCCCCGAAACAAACATCATTCATTTGTCCCGCAAGATTCTCGTGCCTTTATAACTCACTCCAAGCAGCTGCACGCCCGCTTCAACAAGTGGTGCGCCACCTGAAGGGCTTGGGCTATCTGCCATACCCGGAATCCCACCTCCAGTTCATGTGGCCTTTATCTCAGGGCTTGAAATCTGCTTGTTTGCCTCCTCAGATTAACATGGAACCCCTAACCTCAATAAGGAGATTCCTCGCAAAAAAAAAGGTGCTTGGATTCCAGGCTACTCTGTGTGAGTGTAATCGATGCAGCGGCGAGAATAAGGGTACTTTCCATTTCCATTCTTTCCAGGGATCCTTCTTTCTAGAAAACCTCCTGAAACCGAGGGAAAACGGCTGGTTGTTAAGGCAAGAACGGAGGTCGAAACGAATGGGGAATCGGCCCCCAGAGAATGTTCCACAAGCTTGGCAACAGCAAATACCCACAATGAACTGTGAGCTCTGCTAAGCATGCGGTTCAACTCGCCCAGTGTGTATACTTTGCCATTGCGTATGTGTCAGAGCCCACGCATCCATCCGGGCATTCCTATCAGTTCGTGCAACTGCTTCTTTGATCTATGGGCTATAGGAGGAACTTGGGCGCTAAGCACAAGTGCGAACAAAAAGACACAGTTCGCACCAGGCACTCCAACAATTCAGCCTTTTCACCTCGAGCTGCATTTGTCCAGGCGACCCCTTCCGCGCGTTTTCCGTTTGTCTGGCGCTCCGTTTCTGAGTCCCGGCCTTGGTGTTGTTCGGCGCGTTATAGGCCACCATGAGTGCAGTGTGCCGATCCTTGTCCACATCCTCGGGAGTCACTGGGACTCATGGAAACCAATGCAGGTAGGTTCCAATAAGCGTGGCTGCTGGCGAGACCCCCTCGCAAGGTATGTCACTTTTTGCGGGGTGAACAAAAAAAGACATCCGAGCTGTTTCAACCAAAACGTCGAAGTCCAAAGATCCAAGCAAATGGCCAGAAAGCAAACATGGCCATGGGGAAATGAGGAAGAACCCACAAAATGGATCGCTGAACCTTCGCAGGTCCAGTCCACCTCTTCGGACCGCGACCGCGACCGCTATGGCGAAACAAAAGGAAGGCTTGCCTTCAGGCTGACTTTGAAGATGGAGCCCCGCCCAAACCGGATTTTTTTTGAAAATAATTGCACCTTTCGAAACCCGCTCTGATTCGCTATGCTATTAGGATCAAACATTGGCCGTTTGCCTTCGCGGTTTCCATCTATTGGTGTGGCACTTACACGGCGAATGAGGGCCGCAACAGTGGCGGCATGTTCATTGAAGCAATGGTTCTAAAATACTCACATTGGTTTGTCTCTTCTTCCAGGATGGTTTTCTTAAGAACATCCCTGTGAAAGGACCCTGTCCAACACGGAACCCACCAGCTGGTCCCTTGTAAAGGAAAAAACAGTCGACCCCGCAACCTCAATGGCGTTAGTGCACGGGGAGTTTCGTCCCTTCGTGCCTGGAAACCCGAAACCTTTGCTAGGTCCTCTAGTAGAGAGGCTAGAACAACGGTACCCCTTTTTCTGCAGTCTATTTTGGTAGGGGAACCCTCCCCCAAAAAAGAAACTGTAGAAGGGCACTGCAGGGGGACCTAGTCTGGTTCCATGCTCTCGTTTGTAACCGAGGTCAACTTTTTCTCCACCTTCATCCTTTGACGCATAGGCCGCCGGATCCCGGATCCCCTCCCCCCCCCCCGAGCCCCGGCCGCCTGGGCGGAGCAATGTTTCCTCAGCAGCCACTTCACCAAATCCACGTTGCCCTCGCTGGCGGCGTGGAAGAGCGGCGTCCAGCCCCGTTGGTCCTTCTTGGTGAGCTGAGCCTCGGCCGCGCAACGCGATTCGAGTCGACCGCTTTTAGGGCTTGAACCAAAAGAACCGGGAACTCACTTCCTGAGTGGACCGTCCAAAGCAAGTCCGAACTTGTTGTTTACCACCCAAATGGCCTTTCCAAAAAGCTTAATGTCCGGGAACTCTTGAAGTGGGCTAAACGTTCAAACAATGGTTTAAACTATGGTTCAACGATGGACAACAACACAGGCTTGCTTGAGACATGGTTTAACATTCAAAATCGGGGGCCAATCCCAATCCATATGAGGGAAACTAGGGGGGCCCTTTCGCCAATCCAAGGAAGGATCACCTTTGAACAGCCCAGCTTAACCTTAGATGGTTGAACACATCCGTTAAACCATGAGCCAGGGTTCAAGCCATACAACAAACTCCGCTTGGTTTCCCGAGTTTTGTGAGCCTTCACGGCGAGCGAACATGTTTCCGGCGTCCCGGAGCCCACGCTCCGGAGACACGGCGGTTCGGAGTTTTCTCGCAATGGAGCCCTTGCTGGGTGGCTTTTCCAAGGAAACCAAGGGAAAGGAGCCCTGTTTATTGGTTTTCTGTGAGAAACAACTCCAAATCCGCCGACATTGCTCGGCGTGTCGGATACTTTAGAGCCTCCGGCTCAGTCCGCCGACATTGTCCTCTCCCTTTTCTCCCTCTTCCTCTCTCTTGTCTCCCTTGTGTGTTCTGTCGTCCTCTCTCCCTCCCTCTGCTCCCATCCTCCCCATCCCCCCAAGCCTCTCTCTCCCCACTCTCCCTCTCTCGTATGTATGCATGCATGTACATATGTATGTATGTATGTATGTATGTATGTATGTATGTATGTATGTATGTATGTATGTATGTAATGTAATGTATGTATGTATGTATGTAATGTATGTATGTATGTATGTATGTATGTATGTATGTATGTATGTATGTATGTATGTATGTATGTATGTATGTATGTATGTATGTATGTATGTATGTATGTATGTATGTATGTATGTATGTATGTATGTAACGTATGTATGTATGTAATGTATGTAATGTATGTATGTATGTATGTATGTATGTATGTATGTAATGTATGTGTATGTATGTAATGTATGTATGTATGTATGTATGTATGTATGTATGTATGTATGTAATGTATGTAATGTATGTATGTATGTATGTATGTATGTATGTATGTATGTATGTATGTATGTATGT